CTTTAAAACAAAAGACAGAACATTTCTTTAAAAAAAGAAAAAAGTGAGAAGCCTGTTTCCCGTGTCTCAGGTGCGGATCTTGGGGTTTCACATCCTTTATCTTTGATTCCTTCTACAAATCCTAGGAGTAGACAGCATGGCCATCTCCACAGCTGAGCAAACTGAGGCTCAGAGATGCTACGTAACTTGCCCAAAGCATCACAGCGACTCAATAGAATTGTGGAGCTTCAAGGCTGGGCTTTATATTTTTCGACTCCAGGCGTTATAGCACCATCCTGGGTTTTCTGTTCGGGGCAATTAATACCAACTCATGCTTTGCTTTTAGTGAGTTTTCAAAAACTCAGTGGAAAGATTCAGTATTAATGGACGTGTACTCTAGGTGGAAAAGCTCATTGCATTGGAACGTAAGGCATTCCAGTTCTTCTTTTTTTAATTTGGATTACAGATCGTACCAATTTGGGATTAAAAACAAACACATTGCCTTCGCTGATCGCCATCATGCCATAAAAAAAATCCATTTCATGCCAAGAATTGTAGGCAGAGGACGTAAGTGTAGAACAATGTGGAAATCAACCCTCTCAATTAAATACATTCAACATTAAAAAATAACACATTATCGGGTTGTTTTTCTCACTGCTCAAAATGTTGGGTTTGGGGCCAGCAGGTGGCGTGGTAGTTAAAGGCACTGGACTCCCACATGGCTGACCGTGGCTTGAGTCCCAGACCTCTCTCTCTCTCTCTCTTCCTCTGTTCCTCTCTGGTCAAATTAAAACAAATAAATAAAGTTAAATAAAATAATTCTTAAAAAAAAAAAAGTTGGGATTGTATTTGGGATACAAATGACCCAGATGACCTCCGAGGCATCATTTCAGCTTGAAAATCCTGTGCAAAGGGACCAGCAGATGGCGTAATGGTTACATCACTGGACTCCCACAAGTTGACCACTGTTCAAGTCCTGGACCTAGCAGCTTCAAATTCATGTAGGTACGTGTGCATGCATACCCAAAATCCTGAGAGGAGAATGAAGGAGGGATTGCAATGTGGCCATTCCCCCCTACCCCTCGGAGATGATTTCTCCCTTTCTGTCTCTCTGTCTCTCTATGTCCCTCCAGCGAGCACACACACCCCTATAGCAAAAATCTCTCTAAAAAAAAAAAAAGTGTCTTTTTTTTTGGAGAGATTTTCACTATAGGGCGCATGCGTTCGCCAGACAAAGAGAGAGAGACATAGAGACAGAAAGCGAGAAATCACCCCCCGGGGGGAAGGTCACACCGCAATCCCTTCTCCTCCATTCTCCTGTCGGGATCTTGGGCATGCATGCACACGTGCCCGGCGTGAGTTTTAAGCCACCGGGTCTTTTTAAACCACGGTTGACTTCATGGGAGTCCAGCGACATAGCCATTACGCTAACTGCTGGTTCCCCCCCAAAAAAAAGTGTCTTTGAGGAGCAGAATTTGATGGTAGCCTCCAACAATATAATTCTGAGTAGGATCTATACCATTTAAAAAAAAAAAAAAAAGGAAAGACTTCATTGCTATGTAAACACATGCTTTTAATTCAGCCAGGTCCAGAAATACCCAGTCTCTTGTCATTGTATCATATCTGTGGGACACGGAGCTGTGGTTTGGCATTGTGAGGACAAACCCTTCGGCTGGTGACCATTTCTCACTTCCAGGCCGCAGCTGGGGTTTCCTCTCCCCAGACACCCAGCAGGGATGCTCTGGGCTCTTTTCCTCTCCTACATCCTGAGGAATGTGCTGACAGCCCTGTATTATCATGTTTTTATCTCAGGATGTGTTGACATCTTTGGTCTTGCTGGCCAGGGAGTCCTCCCGGGCTGCCTAATTCCTAGAGATGATCAACAGCTCGCCTGTGAACACGCCTTCACATGCGAGCAGTCAACCCTGCGTCCGCGGCCCCCTCCACTTCTGTGACAGCTATCCTCCGAGGTGCCCAGCGGATGCCTGGAGCCGCGGATTGTACTCAGCCCCACATGTACTGTACTCCCATCCTCTAACCGAGAAGGCTAGGTAACTGTGGGTGGGTAGCAGGTCCAGAGGGACAGCTGGACGAAGGCATGAGTCACATCCCGGGCAGAACTGTGCCACTTGGAACTGGCTGTCATTTCAAACGGATACATTGTTTATTTCGGGAATTTTCCATTTACTACTTTCGCGGTTGACCACAAGTAAGCAAAACCTCAGACAGCGAAGCCATGAGTAAGGGGGAGACACTGTCTCTAACTCTCCCAGGCCAGCCACTGTTTCCCCTGGCC